TATTTTTTAGCTATAATTCTGCTCTGCTTCCAGATTAAAATGGGTTTTGTATATATAAGCGAGGTTCCTACAGCCACTGCCGCCTCTCGCATTTCGACCGCCATCGTTTTTTGTCCATCCATTCGTCTTCTTTGATGGCTCTATCTCTCATTATGTGCCGTACATTTTCTTCCCAGGCAACCGAAGGCCTTCCCCTTCTTCTTCTTTGCTGTGATGTGTAATTAAAAGCTTTCTTTGGCCATTTATCTTCATTCATTCGCCTCACGTGACCATACCACACTAGTTGTCTCGTTTCAATTCTGTTTACACTGGAATATACAGTATTTGTCCTTCTTCTAATATCTTTATTTCTGATATGATCTTTTTTGGATACACCACACGCTCTGCTTAGAAAATCCATTTCTACTACTTCTATTCTTTTTCTATCTTTTTTCGTGATCTGCCAAATTTCATCCCCATAAGTCCCATAAGTCATAATAGGCTCTACCAAGGTTCGATAGATTGTCAATTTCGTTTCTTGTCTAATATCTTTAGACCATAGTAGAGAGTCTAGAATGTTAACCGATTTTTTTTAAATGGGATTTAAATAGGGTATTTAACCTCGACAGCAAAGGCTGCCGTAGGTAAACAGTGAGTCCATTTGGAAAAGAACTTTGAAGCTGTGTTTTCAGGGTACCTGAACTGGAACCATTGTTCACTAACTCCAGGTCATGTGAAGACAACAGAGCATTTAATTTTGAACCCACTTTGGCCTCTTCAGTCTGGAAAGAGCAGAAAGGAGAAAGATTTCCAATTTTTTCAAGGTACTTCCTGACTTCTGAGCCTAAATTGGATGTGGAGGTACCTTATCCGGTTTTTCACCGTTTATTGCTTTAAAAAGAAAAAACCGGCTATAATTGGGACAAAAAATAATCTAAAAAACCGGTTATTGCCTAATAAAAAGCCGGTTTTAATTTATAACCGGTAGTTTATTCCTATCCCTAGTATAAACAATATATTTCCTGGTTACACCAACATATCTTAAGCTTAAGACGTGATTTAAGCTCAGCTGACGAAACATACTCGTTGTACCATTAAGTCTTAGGTCAATTTTCAGCTTGAACCGATCTTAAACTTAAGTCTCCGTTATTTTCAGCTTAAGTTGCTGTCTGAGTTTAAGATGAGAAATGTAACCTCAAAAAATTGACAGTTGTTTTGTAGAATACAGATAGATATTTATATTAAAAATGAAATATTTTGTGGATTTCGGATATTAATTTTGTGGATTTGATAGACAATGTTGACATTGTAGATATAGAACGATATGTAACAGTATTTGCGTCTATTCCTTGATTTCCTCGTAAGGTATTTGTTCGTAACAATTCCTTTGATAAATCCGGAGATGCAGAATTTTTTCTTCTAGACTTCGTCTAACAAAAGAACGTATCCTGCATATTTTGTAAATTGTGGAACCACAATTAGAATATATGCATAATTATAAATAATAATAAAATAATATAATAAATAAATAAAATAAAAAATATATAAATGCTATTAAGTAGAAGTACAAAATTGAGATTACTTTGATTTATAAACTTCCACCATGATAGAAGAGAGAAGAGAGAAGAGAATAGAAACTTTTTATTGTACTAAGATTTACAGGAATAATTCCCTCAGTTCCATCAATCAACTATTTGTAACTTTGAGGCTGTATGCCACAGGAACATATTGGGTCGCAATAGGCGATTTTATACAAGCTGATAAATTTACTATGTCTAGGATTGTGAAGAAAGTTACAGGATGTTTCGCATCTTATGGTATAATTATATTAAAATGTCACAAATCGAACCAATCATAAGAAAATAACAATTTTATCAAATTGCCCGATTTCCTAGAATCATTGGGGCGATTGATGGTTGCCATGTAAAAATAATTTGTCCAAGTAAATTTTAATCACCCTTCAAAAAATAACCATTGCAAAATGAAATGTTTTTGTAGGGAAAGAAGATGGCGAAAAAGAGTAAATTAGAGTCAGACCAAGTTTTTATTTTAAGTACATACTGTTGCAATATTAGAGTTCCTTCAGGTGATACTGGTATCATCAGCAAAAAGAAAATTTTTTCTATCGATTTTCGATTCTCTATCGAAATTTGATTTAACTAGTTATTTCCTATTCCTTAATTTTATTCACTGCCACCCGTAATAGCATGCTTGTATCAATACCATACCAATCTCCCAAGTTCTTCAACCATGAAATCTTTTTTCGTCCTGGACTGCATTTGCCTTCTATTTTTCCTTGCATAATATTTGTAGCAATCTGTATTCGGGAATTTTCATTAAATGTCCGAAGTACTCCAGCTTTCTCTTCTTGATGCTTTTTATAATCTCAGTAGTCTTGCTGAGACGTTTATAGTATTATGAAGTTTCGACTTTGTTCCACCCAAAAAACTTAAAATTCTTCTATAAAACCAAATTTCGAAAGACTCAAGGCGATTTGGATCATTTTGATTCACAGTTTAAAACTCGATAGCTTAAAGTAAGACCGAGAACACGTAACAGCGAAGTAGACGGATCAGCGATGCCAATTTTAGACCTCTGTTACATAATACTTTGGACATCCTTGCAAAATCGGCACTGGCTGGTTCAATTCTGGATCTAATTTCACCATGACTTTCTGCGTTACAGTTATCTGTTACAGTTAACTGATATCCAAGGCAAATAATTTGATCAACTTGCTCAAATTACTTAGCTTCTCTTACGTCTCAATAAGTAATATAAGATCCTTTACAGCTGTAAGACCAAAAATATTCACAATGCGTTTAAGCAAATTAGAATTTGGTGAGCACAAATTACTCGTTACGAATCGGAATCCTGCAAATCCATCGAGTCTTGCTACCCTTTGGCGCCGACCTTTACTATTACAGGTTTAATAAAATTTTCCATTAGTCCATTTAACTTCCAAATATTCCCTTTTGTTTTCAATATATGAGCAACCAAATAATATAATATAGGATAATTTAATTTTCATTAATAAACAAAAAAGGAATATGAAGACAAGTAATAATTCGATGGTAATATGATCTTCACTTACGTCGTCAGAGCACACATTTTCTTTTCGATAGTAGATATTAGCTGATTGTTGTGTCTATGGTACGGTAAATAGGTAAAATTATATTACAGGTTTTAGATAACATGAATCATCGTTATAATTAATAATTATAGTTAATAATTTATGTGGATTTTAGAAATTAATTCAGAAAAAGCCTTCTTCATAGGAAGTCATGTACCTATATTCCTAAAATAGTACGGCAAGACTTGGGCAAATAAGAAATTTACAAAAGTCCTAAAAATGGAACTTCCAAGGCATTACGATAAAATAAAATAAAATAGTTCAATTTAATAAAAAAAAAAAAAAAATGAAATAACCGATGCCACTGGAATTTTTGGCTTCCCCAACAGTTGACTATGGTCTTGCCAATGAGTCACCCTTTTCAATTAATTGTTTGACTATAAATGATACTAGATTAATTGATATTTTGATCATCATCAAGCTTCATTGTGTTCAAACCATTCACATACCTTTTTTTATATGTTTCCTTTAGTTATTATTACAACTATAATAAATTTAGTCATTATTGTCTTTTATAGTACTACAAAATGCACTTTTAGTTTCGATATTTTTAAATTGCACAATTAAATAAAAGTATTTTACCTCTTAAAAAGTATATAAATCTTTACTGTTAAAACTTTTGTAACAAACAAGAAATTTAGCTCGTTAGGTGTGCAGATTAAAGATTTAGGAATGTCATAAAATCCGGATTATGGTAAATTATGGAAATTTAGCTTTTCCTATTAGATTTTGATCCTATCTAAGGTTTATGCGCCTTTGTTCTTTATATTTATTACGTTAGGTGAGAAGTATCACTAACTTATTAATTATTAAGGTTAAAATTTAATTACAAAGTAAACAAACATCAGAATTATGCTATTAATATATTTTATACAAACTGTTTTCTTTATTAGTTTAGGATTATAACTTTTGTTTTTTTCTATGTTTAATGCCCATTGAGGTGGCCCCATAATAATGAGAAAATAGGAATAAAACTTCTCTTCCTGTTGACATAAAACAGTCTCTAATTCCTCGTGAAAAGTCTTCCAGGACACCTCGAATATATGGCCTACCCAAAATTCACAAACCCGATATTGCTTTACGTCCCATTGTCAGTGTGATCAGGGTAGAGTGAATAGAAAAAAAGGAATAGGTAGAAAGAAAAGTCTTGGCTGAAGACAGCTTCCTGTAGAGTGGTTAGCATCATATATTTATATCATTTATTCATTGATTATTGAACATCATAACATGGCGCAGTCAGCAGAAGAACAGCTAATAGAAATTATCCAGCTGTTCGAAATCAAATACAGGCTAATCTTGATGATAAAGTGCATTGATGATAAATCTTGCATAAAAGCTTGCATAAAAAGATGAGGATAATCTGGATAATATATAATAGATTATAAGTATATAACTTGATGTGGTACGTTTGTTAAATAATCACAATATTTAGAAGACTGTGTATAATTAATTATTTGCTGCAAAAGAATTAAATATATTCATATTGTAACTATAAATTTAAATATTATTAGGATTGATGTTTTTATTATTGTCAATAATAAATAGGTCCAAACTGTATTTAAATCTTAAGAGGGGAGATGTTATGAGTTCGACTCTACTTACACACTACGCTCTAGGGTAAAGTGGGTTGCATCATAACATTTTGACAAGGACAGAGAAACTTTTGGAAATGTGGTGGCTAATCTTTGTTAATGGGGACTGCACAAGAAGAGGAAAATAGGGTTCTTTGAAAATATTTTTTAGTTTTTATACGAAGAGTTAGAGATCCATGTTCCAAAATTAAAGTATAAGACGAAAAAACGTACATAATGATAACCATAAAATACCTTTGATAATCTTCAGAAATTGTGTTTTGAAAATTTATTTTATTTTATATTCTATAATATTTTACCTATTGTTGTCACAACGGTACTGGCGAAAAACAACGACTGTCCAAAACTCCAGTTTGGCTCGCCGGTGGCATTTTTGATAGCTGACACTCCTCTATTGCTGGCTTGTATAATTTCTTTAATTAGGTCTTCCAAATCATTATCTGTAACAATAAAATAATGTTATCCGAAATGTGACGGGTTATCACACAGAATTATCCAAAGATAAAATATATTTTAATTGGTTTGTTGTTTATAAAATATTAATTAATGCATTAAATAAAGTTATTTAATTTGTATTATTTTAGGGAGTATATACCAAGTCAGCGCGCATAAATGACAACAATTTATAAGCTAATATCAGTTCGAAATTAATAAATAGGAAACACATGAAACATATATCAAAATTGACAAAAAATCTATTTGTTATGGCGTAACAGCAAAAAAACTGAGAAAATTAGCATTTGAGTTTGCTGAAAGAAACAGTATTAAACATAGTTTTAACTTCTGCTTAGGATTACCTGGTGTCGAGTGGTTACGAAGTTTTCTTCGCAGAAATCCAACAGTATCCATACGCAAAGTAGAAGGCACGAGTCTAAACAGATTAACAGTTTTTAATAAAGAAGAAGTGGACCTGTTTTTTAAGCTGTTAGAAATTTTAATGACAAAATATTGATTTGGTCCAACACAAATATACAATGCGATGAGACGGGAATTAAAAGTTCAGGATCCTGGACAAATTTTAGCTACCAAAGGCCAGAAAAGGGTGGGCTTTGCAACCAGTGGAGAGAGGGGTAAAAACATCACAGTTATGTGTGCCATAAATGCCGCTGGGGGATACATTCCACCCATGTTTATTTTTCCGCGAAAGCGACTGACACCTCTTTTAGAAAAAGATGGACCTCCGGCGGTATTACATAAATGTTCAAGTAATGGTAGGATTGATGAAGGTTTATTTTATGAATGGTTTCAACACTTCCACAAATACTCAAAACCCAGTCAAACCTCACCAGTTCTTCTAATTACAGATAACCATTCCAGCCACATATCCATAAAAGTTTATGAATATTGTAAAGTAAATAATATTTCTATGCTTTCAATTCCGTCTCATTATTCTCACAAGATACAACTTTTGGATATTGTTTTTGTGGGCCTCTTAAAGCTGAATATCGAAATGAATGTAATTTGTTCATGAAAACACATTTTATGCGAAATGTCACGCCATATGGTGTTGCTGGTCTGTTTAATATATCATATTCTACAGTAGCGACCATAAGTAAAGGAGAATCTGGTTTTAAATGCGCTGGCATTTATCCACTCAACCCAAAAGTATTTACAGATCAAGATTTCTTAGCTGCTACAACATTACAAAACCACTCGCTTGTTGAAGTCCAAGATAACAATGAAGCCATACCAGCCGAAATTTACAATACAAACCCATCTCAAACTTTGCCACCTATAAATACAAATCAGGTTGAAGCAACAGTAAGAAAGAATATAACCAGAAAAAAAAACAGCATGCCAAAATCCTGACATATACGCCTTTTAAACAAGAGTTTAAAAGGCGTAGATGTAGAAGAGAAGAAAAGGAACAGAAAAATCAGGAAGAGATAAAGAAGATTCAAGAAAGAGGAAAAACTAAATTAAATACCCAAAAATCTATCTCTGAAAGGACAAAATACAAATAAGACTGGAAAACAAGTGTAAACTAAGAAACCTCATTACAAGAGAAAGGTGTTTGATTCTAGTTCTTCGAAATCGGATCTCGATATACCATGTGATGACAGTGACGATGCAGACGAAGATAGATGCCTGGTTTGCAGCGAGTTTGGCAAAAACAATAAAATGTGGTTTAGATGTACCCTTTGCTTAAGATGGGCCCATTCAGAGTGCAGTGAATGGGATTCTGCAGAGGTTTATACCTGCGATGACTGTCAACCATTTTTACATTAAAACACATATTTTTGTTAATTTTTTTTTGTTTTGTTATAAAAAATATTTTTTCACCTTTCTTACTGATTTACTTGAATTATTACCCATTAAGGCACTTTCGTTAATCGTTTTATAACAAAAAAATTGTTAAATAGATATTGATTTTTATTTTATTAATAACACAAACACATTAACTGGCATTACCCACACTCATGACCGGTATTGTGCATATGGTGACAATACCGGTCAAAGATAGTTTTTTATTTTTTGTCTCTGTCAAAGACAAAAATTTTTGATTTTTCAAATTGAATGTGTCTTGCAATAAGTTAAAACCCCAAATGACCGGTTGACGGCTTAAATTTGATTCACAGAGTTTTACTTTTTTTTATAAAATATTATAAAATATTATATATATTATTTTATATATTATAAAATTTTCTTTTTAGGTGACCGCGATTTCCACACTTTACCCTACCTTTGTAAAATGACAATATAAATTTTCATTGTGAAAGATATTTCATACGGAAGATTTTAAAATTGTGAGATACATGGCAGATAGTCTTCAAATGCTAATTTTTGAATTTTCCTCAACTTGATCTTACCTGAACAGGTAAAAGCTTAAGATATACATAGTATCTGAAGTAGAATAAAAATAAAGTTTTTTTAGATTGTCTACAACGACATTGGAGACTGAAGGCGGGGCCAGCTGATTCAGAACATCCTCAATTAAATCTTCGTGCAATGGAGGTTTCTTTTGTTGAATATATTTGTTTCTTATACACAGTTCTAAATGCTTGAAAGGGGTGTAGATCTATTGAGTTGATTAAGAAAGGTTATTCAACTATTTTTTTGTTTTAACTTGAAAATGAGTTTAGCTTTTACTGCAATATTTTGATAATTCAGATAATTTGTAATATTTCCTTGTCTTCTGAACAATTTAAGTGCGTGGGAACGAGTTTCAGCTATAATAATTGTCAATTTTAATTTTGCAATAACTATTAAGTGAAACTTCTTAAAATTTTTACAGCTGAATACATGTGATAATATTCCTATTATTACGCGAAATTATAATTTTTTGTGCATTTTTGGAAAAGTTATTATAATTTTCAAAAAAAAATGACTTCTGAAGCTATTTGTACAATAACTAAACAACAAATTAATAAAAATAATTTTACAAACACTCATTTTAAAGGATTTCCTATACTTTTTCAGTAAAATTGTGTCACTTTTCATATTTGCTGGGTAATTAAAATCAAATAGCGATCTTACATTGTCTAATTGTCTTATGAGTGAAAAATAACGTTAATCTTTAATTTATTCATTTATTCTTTAATTTATCTTTCCTTAATCTTCATCTTAATCTTTCGTTAATTTCTCTGGTCTAACTACCTAGGGAGACCAAATAGTGACTGTCTGAACTGAATCTCGTTCACTTAATAGTTTTGGGTTGCTTTAAATTTTATTTAGGAAGATTTTCGAATAATGTATACCATATAAACCATGTACAAGTAAATTATACAAAAATAATGGACGACTTGTTTCTTTGGTCCCCGCTTTATTTCAACAAATCCAGATATCAAGTTTGCAAAATGAAGTTCCTACAATTATACATGGAATTTTGGAATTTTCTTTAAAGGTGAACTTTAGATGAATTATATATAGGAAATTTGTTTATCATATACTAATCTCAATATTTTGCATTTATTATCTTTTGCTTGTAGCATCTGCTTCTCTAGACAAGTGTTTTTTAACACACGCGTAGTTCTGTTTAACAAACATTTCATATCTGTCTGCTTTTTTATAAAATTCGAATACATTTATTATAAAACAACCTGAATTTTTAATACAGAAGTTGACATGAAGTCTGTTAGCAACAGAGTTATTTTAATCGTGTATGATACTGAGTGATGTAATCTATTTTTTTACAAGATGGAATGTGTCAATAAATTACAAGTCTTACTATGTTTGATAACACTTGACCCTGCACATTACCCCTTGTTTTTATGCAATATTAATAGTAGATCATTCTAGAAGGTTTTTGTACTCATTCATTATGTGACTTATTATCTTAGTCTGTAAAAATTGCTGAATGTCAGAAGAGCCACTCTTTTAACAAATAAATTATTACAGCTTTTTTCCTTTCGCAATGAAATTAACAGCATGTTCCTCAGAGCGGAAGAGGTGACGGGAATTTATCCAGTTTTGAAAAGAGCGGTCAAGGAGAACGTGCGACCTACTAGGGTAGAAGATGATGTAAGGCAATAAAAAGCTTTACAAATAAGAATCGAATTAAATACAGGGCAAGCACAAAAGTAGAACATCTAAAAAATAAAAATGAATACCTTCAAAGCATATTTTTCGCTGCCTCATAATTTCGCTCCAAAACCGTACAGTCTAAATCAAATATTATTGTAGAAAGTGATTATTAGACCGACAAAAATTTATGGATTCGTGACATGAGTGATGCGATAGAAAATACAAAGAAAAGTTGTAAGTTTTTGAAAAAAAAAATGACAAGCTCCAAGATGTGCTCGAATACAATTTACTATTTTTATTGACAAGTCACAATATTACTAAGTTTATTTTGATTTTTCGATTTCCACAAGGGAACACTGACTGAGCTACTCAAAACAGATGAAACACGACTTTTACGGAACACAAAAAGAAATATGGAGAATGATCAGAGGTCAAAGAAAAGAGATGAACGACCTAATAAACATGAAACACATTCCAGAAGGAAACATGGGTAGATTACTTTTGATCCCTATTTGTTAAAGGTGACGATAATGAACCACCAACACCAGAGGTGACGACAAACGAAGGAATAAATCTTGAGGAGGAAGAGGTAAAGGAAGCATTAGGGAAATTAAGGAATAGAAAATCACCAGAAGAGGACAGAATACCGAACGAACTCCTAAAGTACCGATGACCAGATGTGACCAAACAATTATTAAAACTAATCCGAAAAATAATTGTTGCGTTGTCTCTGTGGGCTTTTAATAATATTGACGACCAGTTTCTTTTTAATATCTTTTATTAAAGACCAACTAAACTTAATACATGATTATATCTAACGAGCCATCTTCTATTCTTGTCCGTTGTCAATGTCCTTCACCTGTCACCCATGTTAAGGTAGGTTTACAAATATTAAGGTAGGTTCACATAACATAACATGCCCCTTTTTTTACAAAAAAAACTAAACTATCCCAACAACCTAAATCTACCCGCAACA